GGAGTCCTCCGGGCCATCCGGTCCCTAAAGGCCTCTTTCTTCAGCTTGATGGCCTCCCTCACCACTGGTGTCCACCAGGGGGTTCTTGGGTTCCCGCCCTGACAGGCACCCACAAGCTTTTGGCCACAGCTATGCCTGGCAGCTTCCACAGTGGAGGTTTTGAACAGGGTCCATTCAGATTCCATGTCCCCTACCTCCTCCGGGACATAAGAAAAGCTCTCACGGAGTTAAAATCATTCCAAACAGGGGCCTCCAACAGTCATTCCCAGCACACCTTCACTATTTGCTTGGGCCTACCGGATCTGACCATCAGTCTTCCCTGCCATCTGATCCAACTCACCACCAGATGGTGATCAGTTGACAGCTCAGCACCTCTCTTCACCCGAGTGTCCAGAACAAATGGTCCCAAGTCAGATGAAACAACAACAAAGTTGATCATTGACCATTGACCCAAGGAGCTCTGGTACCATGTACACTTATGAACATCCTTTTGTTCGAACTTGGTGTTCGTTATCAATCCGTGTTTAGCACAGAAGTCCAATCCGTGTTTAGCACAGAAGTCCAATAACAATTCACCATTCGGGTTTAGAGCAGGACGGCTGTTCTTCCCAATCACGCGTCTCCAAGTTTCCCAGTCATTGCCAACATGAGCATTGAAGTCTCCCAGTAAGACTATGGAGTTTGTAGGCGGAGCCCTTTCCAGAACCTAGAAAAGTGTAAAGTTCAATATAAATGTTAAGATGTAAGACAAAGGTGTATAGAACTTTTGAGGAAAAATTGTCAAAAATGATTTTTATTGGTTAATTGTTTGTGTTACTAATTGTAAAATATGGAAAACAAGATGTAAAATGGTAATCCAACAGACTCAAATCCTTGTGGAAGTTATTTTTGAACGGATAATGTGTGAATTGAAACAAATCAAAATAACCCTGGGTTCTTCTGGATTTATAATTCTTTCTTCCAAATCAATAATAAGTATGTTTATAATTGTATTTTAGATATACTTATTGTATTATGTAAGTGTGTAAGTTGGTGCTTAAGTAATTTTGTATTGATTGTGTGATATTATGTAATTTAACTTTGGGTTAAAAATGACCAGGGATAAACAGGACAGCACACCCAAAAAAACACCCCATACAGTGGCAGAGGGCAGGATGCTGTTTTACTAATGTATAACTTAAATACTAATGTATTTAAGTTATAATGAATTGATATCAATGTATTGAAAGGCTTAATACAAGGCTATTAAAGATGTCCAGGCGGTCACATCAGTGGTTACTCCCTCCTGAAACGGCCATGTTGCATTTTGGAACGCAGTATATCCTGAGGATAGCTCTGCCCGAATACTGGAATATTTTGCTGCAGCAGTTATCTGGGCATCTTTGGCATATTGGGGAAATTCATGTTAGTTAAATACTGCATACTACACTGATGTGCCAAAAGTCATGGGACAGGGACTAGTATCATGTAGGTACCCCTGTTGCCCAGTGAACCACATCCCATAAATGCCCCGTTTGTCGCAATGGTATCCCCAGAATCCTCAGAATCCTCCTCAAACCAATTCTGGACAACTTGGGCCTGATGGCATGGTGCATTATCCTGCTGAAATATCACATCCAGTGTACCCAACCCATGCCATAAGAACACACCCCACACCAGTATTGAAACACCACCAGTCTGCCCAGTGCCTTGTTGACATCTGGGGTCCATGTCTTTATGGGGTCTGTGCCACACACAAACCCTACCATCAGCCTGGAACAACTCATACCATAACTCATCAGATCACACTACATGTTGCCTTCTTCTTCTAGGGTCCAACCTCACAAGCCCAAGTGAGGCATTGTGTCCAGTGTTGTGGCATTAACAGAGGCAATATGGTGGGTCTTCTGCTCCCATATCTTATGGAAACTAAAAAATACTGCACTGACCAGCAGGATATGCGTGTAGGGCCGCACAGCTTCAGAAATGGAATGTCCCATCTGTCTGGAACCCATTATCATGCCTCGTTTGAATTCCCGATAATTCATGTCGCCTTGCCATGAGCATGCTGGCCAGCGATCAACCTCACTCACAAGATAACACCTCACAACTTATGGCGCAACTTACGGTGTGGGCTTTCTCAAGCCATCCCTGAGGTAACGACACTTCATAATCAATTTATATACTGCTATCCAATGCCTTTCGGCACGTCAGTATACTTACTACTTTTAGAAACGAGCAGTACATGAGCAGTATGTGGTAGGCTATTTCGAACACATCCACTAAAACAGTGTTCTTCAAATATCTTCCTGGAGTGCTGCTTTCCTAAAGTGCCTAGTTCCAACTACATTCTGCCACATTGACTCCAGCAATTAAATTCTTCAGAAGTTCCTGATTGGCTGGAACAGATGCATTAGTGTTAGGTAAGGGGGTGTAGCAGTGTGCTTGATTCAGGTTGGAACAAAACTCTGCAAGAAACTAGCTCTTCTGGAAAAGGGCTCGAGACCACTGCACAAAAATATGCAGGGCAGATTCGGTAATACTGATGTTGATACGTGTAGGATAGTTTTTGTTTCCTGAAAAATGAATAATATATTTAATATATGAAAATGAATATAAAATAATAAGATAAAAATAACAATAAAATAAATCTCTCTCTCTTTTCTGAATTACCTACACTCCAGGTGTTCCCCTTCCCTTATTTTTTTCTTCCCCTTTAGACATTATTTGGTATATTTAGTACTAGTGGATGCTTTGATGAATTAAAATTATAATAAGTGTAATATCAAATACATTATTGTCTTTGATAGTATTGCAAATATCTCATTATTTCAACAACATGTTTGTATTTCAGTTTCTTTCTTTTGGTCTTTTCAGGGAATCTTCCTGTCTGCGAGGAGAAAGTTTCAGAGAGAGAATCCAGAAGCATCTGAAGCAACACCATGGAGAAATAGACATGGATTCCCTGACTCATTCCTTTTCCATACTCTTCATTTTCCTGATTCTAACTGTTCCATCTTTTCCTCCTTAAGCTTAGTCCCTCCTCTTTCTGTATACACTGCGAGAACAAAGCAATCATTATGCATAGCATGTAAAACATTCTGTTGTATTTTGAGAATATTAAAATCCTTCAAACAGAAAATGTGAATTCTTGATGCTGTGTCAGCATGTTGGACAAAAGTGCTTACATGGGGCTATAGCATGCAGTTATCTGCCACTGATGGGAACATATTCAGCTTATGTGAACATATGTGAGAAAAAAAGACATAAAGCTAAATATACCTCTATTTTTATTTTCATATGCACATTTATGGATTTATATACAACTATATATTGGTATGTTTTGCAATGAATGATGATTTGTGAGCAAAGAACAAAACAGATTCCTTTATGAAGAGACTAGAGCATTCATGAAAGTGAATGTCTTCTGTCTCATTATTTTAACCCTGTTTTTCAGGAGTATTATCTGTAATATTATCTGTCTCACACCCAGTGGGATCAGCATCGAGCCGGTGATGCTGGTCTATAAATCGACAAACCCTGGGATGAGTGGCAAAACCAGTCATCAACACAGGTTTGTACTTTCCTTTCAGTACAGACAGGTGGTCCTCAAACACTTGCATGATGATATGGGGCATGTAGGCACAGGGAGAGTTCTCAGTCAGGCCAAAGAACATTTTTATTGGCCTTTTATGAAAAGAGAAATACAGGCATATGTGATGAGGAAGCCAGTCACACATGTAAGACCCATGATGGTTAGCATTATTACCAACTCACCCTTCAAACTTGTGTCCATTGAGTTCCTTCCCTTGGAGCCAAGTAAGGATGGCTACGAGTACTTGCTTGTAATTGTGAATCACTTTGCAAGGTTTGCACATGTGCACGCAACCAAGAACAAGTCCGCTGAGAGAAGCTTTAATGATTTTAGTCCTCGATTTGGATTTCCAGCAAGGTTGCACCACAATCAAGGTTGGGACTATTCTGAACTTTGCAAAAAGTGGTGCAGGGGTGGGGCTCTCAAGAACAACCTCTTACCACCCACAGGCCAATCCTGATGAAAGATTCAACAGAACAAATGCTACAAATGCTGAGAACACTAGAGGAGAAGGAGAAAAGCTAACAGGAGGAGCATCTGCCACAACTTGTTTATGCCTATAATTGTACGTAGTATGAAGCTATTGGATAGTCTTCATTCTTTCTGTTATACAGATAGCATCCATGTCTCCCAGAAAATTTCCTGTTCTGTTTTGAAATAGATGAAGAGCCTCTGACCCCAAAGGGTCATGCCAAGAAATGGAGAGAGAGGATGACCAAAGCCTAGCGCATTGCATCCAGAAAAGTAAGACTGTCCAATGCACAAGCGAAAAAGAATTACAACTGATAAATGCATGACAGCTCTGTCTACAAGGTAGCTACTGAAAATGATGAGTAAAAGTCACATATCCTACACTGAAACCTGCAACACTTACTTAATGCCT